TCAGGTTTTCAGGTATCTCGATACTGTATGTACTATATAATAGCTGGTTAAATACTTTTAACACTATAGGTTTCTTCTTTTTAAGTTCTTAGTAGGGGATTGAAGAATTAAAAATTTTTATTTCTTTATTTTAATGTTTTTAATGTAAGTCCTGTCTGTGTTTTAAGTAATGCAAGTGTAAACATTTTTATTATGTCAGACATTTAACAAGATTTATTTTTGACCTTCGTAATCCATCAAATAATCGTAATGGCATCTTTTTTACACTACGTTTAATTATGCGCAATTCAAGTATTTAAAGATTCTTTGGGCATCAAACCATGCTCAATATGGCTATTTTTTTATGGTGGTAATACCCAAATGTTTATTGTTTGAAGAATGACTATGAACTCATGAGAACTATGCGTACACCTTAACAACGTAAAAGCCCCTAAAATAAAAGAAAAGAATACTGTTCGTTTTTGTTCAAGTCTTAATTTTTTTTTTACATAGAACATGTAACCGTAAAAAGTTAAGTTTAAGATTGGCTCTCCGCGCATGGAACCGTTTATTTAAAGTTTCGCGAGAGCGTAGAATCCTTTGCAGAGTTCCAGAAAACAGAGACTCAGTTTCAGCACAACCGCAGAGAAAGATTCTCTATGATCCCTCGCTACGTTCCTTAAGGATGAAAACTAATAAAACTGGATAAACGGATTTATCTGTAGATTCACCGAAGGAGGAGATCCAATACTAAATCACGGTCATCAAAATCGAATGCTAAACCAAATAAGCTAAGCTGAGGATGTAGCATTCCATAACAGTAGAAGAATGCAATGTTTCTGAGAGGTTATCTTTCATTCGGGCCTTTAGAGTAAAATTTTATTTAGGAATGGATGTTGTGTGCGTAACAGGAAACGAAAATCCGACAATATAGAGTTCATTGCATCCTGTCTACGACTTTATGAGCAAAATTAGCGGTTGTGGTCTTGTCTAGTTTTTGGAGTAAGTTTGAACACCGGCCAGCAGGAGCAGCACTGCACAATGTTTAAATAAATTCATTACTATCAGGAACGCCAAAGAACTTCTGACGCGTTTTTACATAAGTGTATACGTACATACAGCATTTTTATTATTTTTGAAATGTGTTCATCAAATACGGCTACTAGTTTTGAATGCACATTTATTGTCTTCTAGTTAATGGCTTCGATTTTGTCTATAGGTACATAATATTTTTATAAATTGAGTATTCGTAGGAGAATACAATCATAAAAAAAAGTCTTTTTCAGAAAGTAAAATAGTTACAATTGAAAACTGGAATGTTTTGTAAATATTTGCATTTCTAAGATGTTTAACTATAATTGGAAAGTTACAGAACTATTTTTTGCTTAATTTTAATTTAATTTGCATATTTTAGATGACTTACCTATATTCGTAAGATCCGTCTTCACCAAGCACATTTACATATTTTAATGCCGTTGCTGTTTTGTCCGATTCATCTGTCAGAGAGGATCCAATATAAAACATTAGGATCACAGCGGCAATCTTCAATAAATAAATGAACTCTTACTGGCTATATTAAAAACCGAAAATGTGCGAAAAGTAATACCATGGTATTGGAAATCATCTAGTAAACTGTTGACATTAAAAATTACCGAATTGATTCACATCAGAAATTATAACAAAGTATTTTTGTTAGAAGTTTTCGGGTTTTGAAACAGTTTAAGTATAAAGAATGTTGAAATAATTGTACATTTTTTATGATGTTAAAAGTATTTGAATAACATACCCCTGAGAATATTGGCAGCATTATAATCTCGATGTTCCTTGCACAACCACTGTAACAGTAAGTTTAGGACTAGTGCAGTATCATTTCTATTCAAAATAAGCACCTGGAGTCACGACTGTTGCGTAATTATAGCCGTATTTAGTTACATCATAATTTATTAAAGGCCAACGCTCTGAAAAAATGCATGCGGACAAAGCATCTTCATAGAATTAATGTTTTTCACTTGCGATAGCATCTGAAAAAGAAATACAAATTAACGTCAGATAATGTTCATAATAACTGAAGAAATTATTGTAAACAACAAGTAGTACAAAAAATATCAACTCTGACCATGATGATGGTTCCATCATTGTATCGCATGGTAAGGTGTTCCTTCCGGTGCGACATATGTCAAAATCGTGTCTATTGCGTTTCAAAAATAGTAAAATAAATGTACTCAAAATATTTTTAGTTATTGAAATGTGCTTATCAAACTCTACCTTCAAGTTTTTCTTAATCAAATTATTAGATGTTTTTTTTTGTTTTCACACCAGGGAATGGTATAAAAATTTTAATTACACTTTATTGAACATACTGACGAAAAACCGTATTCCGGTATTTTTCATCAATAATTCATAAAGAAGAAGGGAACTCTTTGGTAATAACTATGAAAAGATACATTTGTGAATGCAATCAAAAGAACTTAAAACATTTTTAGATGTTTTTTTCTGCATTTTATAGGAAGGCAACTCTTTGGAAACGGTGGGGGACTTTTATTTCTGAATTTTAAATTAACTAGTTTTGCATAATTTTTATTTCAGGTTTTCAGGTATCTCCATAGATTATAAATAAAAAGGGGGGCCTCGAAAGAAAATGTAGATTTACATTCAGAATGTTCTAAAACACTTTTTGTTGCTCTGTTTTCCATGTTAAGGAATAAGTGAGAAATCTCGACTATGTACATTTCTCATTTTACGGATAGGGAGGCGATTTTTTTTTAAAAATCTAATCATTTCTATTTTTTGGGGCATAAATATATATTTTCCTACCAAAATCCACATCTCAATAATTTATAAAGAGAACAGTGGGAGGGCTGTGACGTACAAACAGACGGATGGATCCACGGACATTCGATTAAAGTGAAAGTAGGTATAAGGGTTAGTTCCTAGATGATTATTATGGAACGCTAAGAAGTAAATGTGACTGATCTTTTCATTTCTGGGATGTTTACTGAAGAATGCCAATATTTCATTTATGATTGCACAAAACATCTTTAGGATCATCCATCTTAGGAACTGTTTTTCTTTTGTTTCATGTATGTCTGTTTGCTTATGTTTTCGGGAATGAAACGTCGGCTCTATGACGGACTATGGCTGGAGAAGCCTGGCCTTATAAAAATTAGGAAAAAACGTTTTTTGGCTTTATGTACATTGTCGATTGTAACCACCAAGTGATGTAAATGATAATGTTCGCGATCTCATTGAGCTTTTCGCATGAGCGCATAGTCAATGTCAAATTGATTGAAAGAGAGTGAATTAAATTATTTCTATATTCAATTGCTAGCTTAGACAAAATTAAACAAACTACACTAAATTTTAGCAACTAATTATGTTGTGTTCAACCATAAAATATCGGTATCTAATTTTTTGACGATCTGTTTGTAATAAATTCATAGGGTTGTCGTGGGTAACTGTCGTCAGTGAAACACGAATAAAATAAGGGATCCATGGACGTTTCGTCAATTATTTTGACTTCCGACTAAGGAATCTATAGAAAGGTAGCTGAGGAAGTCAAAATATATTGATTAACTTTAAATAAATGTTTACCACTAGGTACATTTTAAAAACCTGAAACTTGTTTTTCGAATAGGAAACCTTGAAAATTAAAGCTTAAATAAAATATGAGGTAAGAGGATTATACTTCGTTTAAATGATAATAACTTTTGGAGTTTTCGAGTGACATAATGCAATTATATTTAAAAAAAAAATAAAAATGTCCTAATGCCTAGTTAGAGTGACGTGGCATACAGATGATAAATTATGTTCAAAGGTCACAATCTTTTAAATTTCTCACAACCTTTTCTGTGAGCGAAGCTTCGGCCAGCACATGCAGAATGCAACTGCAGTCACGTGACGACATTAACATTGAACCTTGACCCGTTGCTCGGGGTCAGCAGAAGGGTGCGCGCGACGCAGTCTACACGTTACTGGCGCGTCCCGACGCTTAGCGCCGGGATTGTTTTTGGCGTCGCTTCGCGGTTTAAACTGTTGCCGCAATCATATTAGTGAGAACGTATCGTTTAGTAATGTTGCACTGGGGTAGTTTTTGACGAGTTCGTTCTTTTGGTTAAAGTGTGCAAAAACAAAATTTTATTTGTGACAAGTACAGTGTTCGAAACAATGATTTTTAAAGGAAAAGTAAGTATGCATTTCATTTTTCATGCATTTATTGTACTTTAATTTATTGAGAATTTATTATAATGTATGATAATTTTTTATTTATTATTTGTTTTGTACACATTCTCGTAAGGCCGTTTGTACTTGCATTTTCGTATAGAATCAGTTAAACGTGGAGAAACTAAATTTGAGAAATATAAACTAGACAACAGCGCCCTTAAATTGTCCAAAAGTATTATAAACAATTATTACGGGTTGAAAATATTTCTATATGCGAAACCTTTGTGTTGTTGTTACTCCGTCCCTGAAACTACATCATAGATCATAATTTGTCGAGAGTTTTAAAAGTTACGCAAACAATGATAAGTTAATCTGTAGGTATTTATGTATCTCGGGGTAAATTAAGCAAAATTAGGGTTAAGGATACATATCAAGATAAAGAAGGAAAGGAAAACTAGTTTAAGGTTAAAGTTACTAAATCATACTTTGGTACCTACCTAGTATCCTACTTTCTTTGTGAGTGATTATAATATTTCGTGTTATTTTCTGGGAAAAGAAATGGGGCTAATGAGATACTTTCGTGTTTTTTTATTTTTATTTTAACAAACCTGGAACGCGAGCAATGAGATTTCATTATTTATGCGACAAATAGAACTGATGAGCTAACAATGATCTATTGTTAAAGCTTTGACTTATAAGTACTGATTAATTCATAATTTTTCTTCAGTTACAATTTACCCATCGTTTTGTTCGCCGTTGCATAAATTGGATAAATTCAATTCGTGGAACAATTATTCCTAAGTGAAGAAAAAAGAAAATAAGAATGGAAATTATTAAAATTGCTTCTCTTAAATACAGTTTCTCTGTTCTAGTACCTAGTTTTTACGAAGAATAATTTTTAAAGTGATGCAAATTTAATTAAACGAATTTAAAAACTCACACATAACTATCGAATTTTCCAAAGCTGGTTTAATTATGAACTTCTGAGAATCGGATGTCGATATTAGGCAAGTTTTAATTGACTGTGCTTATAGATCAAGTCGACGAAAAATTTTACAAATTTATATATTCATAAGATCCGTCTTTACGAAGCACATTTACATATTCTAATGCCGTTGCTGTTTTGTCCGATTCATCTGCCAGAGAGGATCCAATATAAAACATTAGGATCACAGCGGCAACCTTCAATAAATAAATGAACTCTTACTGGCTATATTAAAAACCNAATTTGTTATAAGGAAGTTATTAAATCTAAAATTTTATAGCGACTGCACTGAGCAAAGTTAAATTCCCCATTGTTCTAATAAGTTTATCAAAAAGAGATTATTTCCTAAACTGATACTGACGTTTCGTCTTCATCAAGGTAGGTTCCTCGGTCAATAATTCGTTGTTAACGTGATTCTTAAAGGCTTAAAGAACTTCACAGTTGTATAAACAAAATCATAAATTACATAAATATTTAAAAGTTACTTTAAACTTCATCTACGAAAAAAGAATTAGTGACCTTAGCCTATTTTGGTAAATGTGTACACCCAAAAGCGAAACATCTGTATCGGTTTGGGAAGTAATCTGTTTTGAGGACGTTCAAAAGTTGCAGATGACGAAAATTAGTTTTGTTAAAGGAAGCAAATAATTATAATTGGACGTGGCACTTGTGTAAAACTTGATTGGGGAAACAAAATAGGCCCTAAATATTAAGAATATTTTTATTATCGTCAAAAATGAGGTCCTTTCAAAAATGTTGGTTTTTTATTTTTTAGCTGATTTTTAATAGTTAGCAGTTACCTTATTTGATTCTAATTTTTAATAGCTGATTTTCAACCTAAACTAAGTAAGACATTGACTGATTAAAAATTTAGCGAAGAGATTTCATTGACCATTAATGGACCCTCTCTTGGTGGCGAAAATTAAAAGGAACCTGATTTGAAAATTATACATGCATTTTGAAACTGTTTGGCCCATCAGATAAAAAAAAATATTAAAATGCTATTCTGTAGTGCAATATTTTGCCTAATCAATGGGGAGTAATCTGGGGTATTTAACAGCTTAGTGTCCACAAATGAATTTTATACTGGGCGATTGTAGAATCACATTGATTTTTGTTTATATTAAGTAGATCTAGTTTATAAAGCTTTCAGGTTACGTTATTTACTTATGTCGTAATAATTCCTATATTTTTTCAGTTTTGAGCCTATTTTAACGATTTTTGTTTAGAGCTTTTCATTTTTTTAAAATATGATCATCTTTTTATACACATACATAAAATTTACAGTGTTATCACCATGCGTCAACACTTAAAATTATTTAAAAAGCCGTATCATTTTTTTTTAATTTATTTGCCATGAATTTCTTGAAATCTTAATAATTCATGTTAAATCAAAATTGAATTCAGATAAGTTGTTAGGTGGTTTTTAGAAAATAAATGTCTAATATGTGCTAGAGCTTATAACAGTTTTTGTTCATCCTTAAGACTAGTACCAAACTTTCCTGTCGTTAAAATGAAATTAAATGTTGCTTTCTTTTACCTCGTTTTCATCATCATAATTTCTTATTTGTACTTAACGTGTAACTCGAACTTAATTTGAAAATTAGATTCTCCCGAACTTTAGAGTATTAAAACACCTATAATTAAGCCTTTTACCAGAATAATTTCAAGAAAGCTTTTATTTTACATTAATGTTTTAACCCCTTAATATAATTTAGATAAGTAGGCCGAGAATTGACTATTTTCAGTAGCAGAGTTGAAATGTTTGAAAAAAAAAACAATTCCATTTGTCCTGCCCGTATTGTGAACTGTTAGTTCGTGTACGTTCATGTTTTACGTAGTTTGTCATAATAACAAAAATCGATCTGGAAGGGTAGCGTGAGTACTGGTTGTTACTGCATTGTTTTTATAGGACTAAGCTGAATGTTTGTTTTTTAGAAACAAATGGCCATCAAGGGAATAGGGTTACGGTTAGATATGAGAAACTTTCCAACATGGGTCCTGCAATATTCACGATGCAAAATTGCTTCAATAATTAACCTTCATATAAGCAATTGTAAATGTAACTTGTATCAGAAAACTACACAGCATTATTTTTTAAGAATAAATGATTTAGTAATGTACATTCACTTAGTTAACAGTTTATGTTTTAATTTTTAGTTTATTACAATTTTATGACATATCTTATTTAATTGTAGTGCTTTTGTCTTCTTTTTTTCTGCATACTTACATCAATAATAATAAAATCAAGAAGAACATATTTTATTGAAATGAGAAACTTAACATTTGCACAGGAATATAAGAAAATGTGGAAAAAAAGGGAGAAAGAACCAAATTATTTGAAAGACGAAACAGCAAAGAGTAAAAATGAATTAGCTTTAACAGCAAGATTTAGACTGGGAAATGAGAATAGGAAGAAGAGAAGAAAATATAAAA